GTATTTACCAAGTACAATAGTGCAATGATAAAGTTTAAAACATAAAGTTCAGATGATGAACTACAAGGAATATATATGAAGCCGGTTTTCCCTTAACAAAAAGAATAATTCGAGTACGTTTTTCATTTGGTTTATCAAGAAACTGTGGCGCAGCACTATAGTTTTATCTTAATGTCTAATAAATCTACTAAAAAAAGGTGAAATAAATTCCGGTCTTTGAGGACTGTATGTGAAACGTGCGTACACCTCCCTCCCATGATCCTCTTCGTAAAAGGTTAATCAGGGTGCTGGATGTGGTAACACTGACCGTGTATCCGGAGTCAATGAAAATTTTTTTATAATTGTTAGGTGTGAATGCAACCGCAGGAGGGGGCATAACCACCGCACCCGCGCCTGGAACCCAAGTTAACCTGCACTTCTAACTTAATCAAACCCTATCAAAACATAATCTAATCTCAACTTACCTCTAACCTAACCCCCTCTAACAAAAGCAACGTACCCTAACTGACCTCTAACCTAACCTACCGCAAGCACAACATAACAACCCAACTTGACCTAGTCCGACCAAACTAGTTGTATCAAGACCAAGGAATTAGTTGACCACAGCTGACGTCATATTTGTGTAGTATACGATCATAGATGCAGTATACTGTGTGTGTACAGCCATCCCATGATAAACAGACTAATGTGTTGACCTCTAGTGGTTTTACCCAGTGTCTTATAAACCATGTTAGAGGAGCCATTCATGACAAGTAAAGTTTTGAGTTAAATGATCCTTAATCCTAATAGCTCCGACCTTAACCTAACCAAAACATTATAATTAAGACCCACTCTTAATTGGCCATGTGATAATGAGGTTTGAGTCTATTATAACTTGGGTTAATTAGAATTGAGGAATATTTATCTTGAAATTTGACAAATAAAGCTTTCCTGTTAAATATTTTCGACTTCTTGTTCAATAATAATAATACTACTCATTCAGCAAAAATTTTCATTCAGGTTTAGCATTGGATAAACATGTCTCCTGTGTACCGAGACAGTGCAGGTAAAAGACAAAGGTACACACACACACACACACACACATACACATTATTAGGTCAACTCTGAACCCCTGATATTAACTCCCCTTAAAGTTTATTGTATATATGCAGTTCAGAATACTCACGCTCTCTACAGGCTCTCTCTTCACTTCTTCACATTGATGTATATTATAAGAAGAAAAAAACAATATATCACTCTAGAAAGCATTTAATATATTACATGAATAAAAAAATAAACACTAAAATGTCTTTGAATTCCTATTTTAATTTAGATATTAGCTTAAGTGTGTTATTACCAGTAGCGTTTTATAGGCATAAGAAATATATACAAATGTGTGTGTATTTGCTAGTATATTATGTAGAATGTACTGATTTGTTATTTAACTATATAGATTAGGTTAGGTGTATCATACATCTAACCTGATTTATATGCTTACATGCTTACATACATACACCGTGTATGTATGTAAGCATGTATGTATGTATGTTCTTACAGGTCTTAAATTATGTAAGATTGACTTGTAATTATGGCTACGTATCCCAACACGAGTCTCCGTACCATAAACATCTCATAATCTCCAGGCAGCGCACCAGCTCACGCCCCCACACTGTCAAAGGGAGCAACTCACCCTCACCACCCACCCAGGTAACTTTAACTAGACAGGTGAAGCTATCAACCTATCTCAATGAACATCGATTTGCAAAGGTTTATAAGAAGTTTTTTCTTCTCTCTCAGTTGATGTAGTGATGTATCTAACTTATTCTTTGAAGTTACGACACAAGTTGGTGAAGCAGGATAGTGGTTGTGATCTCGTCTCCTTATTTAGAGGAAAGAGATTAACATAATTGTCTCTGAAATTGCAGACGAAATGCTAAATGTACCTGTACGCTCACTATCCCAGTTTACCTCTGAGAGCTGTAGTTTAAACTGGACACAAATCTAACTTCATCATTGCTTAATTCACGAGCCACTGGCTAAGTTAGCACCGGTCCTAAATCATTCCACTCCTAATAGGTTCTTTTCTAATTGGTCCTAATTTTAAAGGGTAGCTTGTGACGTGTTAGTACGCCTCCACTCTCTTGCTGGTCGGGTCATCCACACCCGCCTCCCATACTTGTCGTTAAACAAATGACTGATAAATTCCCACCTTCCAACTATCGTAGTAGGGTTACTGACTTACCGTGTAAGCATAATGATAATAATAAGTAAGTGCTTAAGATATCTCATGGATACTGTAATTACGTTATTTTCATGTACTGTACAAAGATAGGGGTATCTACCCTTTTTAAATGAAATAAAGTACACTTACATTTTGTGTGTGGTTTACTTGATAAAAAATGTGTACGCAAAGTATGATGAGTTAAAACATCTGGATTGAATAATCAACTTTATCTTCCAATTAAAGAATATAAAATAACGTAATGAACTTTATATTAGTATAATATATAGTTGGTATAATGTGATTATTGCGCTTCAACAACGAAAGTCGTTAAACGCGTAACAATATCCAACAGCAATTCATTATTATGAAAGATAAAACTCAAGTTATATGTTTTATTTTTTTTTCCTAGCCAGCAAAACTTTATTATGTAGGATAGGTTCCCCTAACAGTACCATTTTCTTCTTGGCAATGAGAAAATAGAAAGTTTATGGTACACTATTTTAAATATTATTAATCTACAATAAGAATCTAGCTTTCTAAGTAAATGTAGTATATTAATTTAAAAATTTACTCTAATCCAATAGCAAAAAAATTGTATACAGTGAATTAAGTAAAAGTAAACAGTACTTGTTTTGAAAGACATTATGCCTCCAAATTTTACAAAACAAAAGTACTAAGTATGAGAGAGAGAGCTTAAGGTACCTGTATATGTCATGAATATTGAAAAATATTTTGAGGATTTCCTAACCCACTTGAAATCCAAATAGGTTCAACATTAATATTTGCGTTCATAAAAGTTCTGATAACATGTACATTCTAAAGGAGCAGTTGGGACAACTGTGCGGAGATGTCCATTGACTGTATAATTGATCTGTGCTTAGTGCTTAGATAGGTACTCAAAACTACTCTGATTGTCTTATCTATATAAAACAAAGAAGTCTTTCTGTTTGTGTGTATGTCCGCACGAGAATCTCGGAAACTATTTTACCGATCCGTAGTGATGATGAATGGTGTTATATGTAGTGATGATGGATGGTGTTATATGTAGTGATGATGGATGGTGTTATATGTAGTGATGATAGATGGTGTTATATGTAGTGATGATGGATGGTGTTATATGTAGTGATGATAGATGGTGTTATATGTAGTGATGATGGATGATGTTATATGTAGTGATGATGGATGGTGTTATATGTAGTGATGATGGATGATGTTATATGTAGTGATGATGGATGGTGTTATATGTAGTGATGATGGATGGTGTTATATGTAGTGATGATAGATGATGTTATATGTAGTGATGATGGGTGGTGTTATATGTAGTGATGATTAGACAATAAATTAATAACAGTTTAATGCTAAAAATATATACTTTGCTGTACAGTTGTAGTGAAAAACATGGTGGAACTTACATACACCGTTAATGAACTATTGATGGAAGAAGAGGTTTTGGGGACTGAACAGTGAGACAATGTGGACCAAAATGACCCTTGAAAGATGTTACTGACATTTTTCAATGCTAATTACTCATCAACTATGGGTTTCCAAGGTGTGATTTAGGGTTTGTGTGTTATTCTGAAAGTAATTAATTAGTTAAACCCCTTAAATTTCCATTCTGATTAAAAAGTATATTTTGTTCAAAAATTTTGTAATGTGTAAGAGACAGGCGTGTCAAATACTGTATGCGGCCTGACACACTCTTGCATGCGGCCTGCTGCCCTTTTGCTGCTCCAGCTTTACCTTGAGAAGCTAAAACTAAATAGTGAGTGTATCTCTCAGCTGAATAAAATAGTCAGCTGTTTCCTAGAATAATATACTCAATCAACATCACCAATGAGCTCCAATGTGATTCTGTGTTGAGGAACAAGTTTTCGAGTGTTTATGTTGGTACATTTTATCAATACTTTTGGACCAAATTATCCCAGGATTAAATGTTTTCCCTCAAAGATTATGTCAATGTTCGGGAGTACATACAGTATGTCTGTGAACAAATCTTTTCTGTGATGAACTTGAACAAGTCTCGGCTTCGGTCCTAACTTACTGATGTGCACATTAATTCAATACTGAAGGTTGCTACAGCTCAGTCGTTAGTGCCAAACTTTGATGCACTGGTCCATACCAAGAGGTGCCAATTACCAGGAAGCAGCAGTAGCAAAAATACAATTGATCAAGGTAAGTAAACACTTGATTTGTTTGTTTTTAAGGGTTTTGCAAGAGCGCAGACTAAATCCACCTTCCTTATTTTGTCGTACTACTCACATAAGAGGTGATTGCGAAGTGCTCATAATTATGTCACTTGGTCCGCATACTGTGTACTCATATTAAATCTGGCCCGCCTTGGTAAATGAGTTTGACACCCCTGTTCTATATAGTGTGTCGGGACTCTAACTCTATATAAACAAGCGTCAACATGTACATATAGGACCTTCTGTACCACCATAGCCGTCCAGCAAAGCTCATCGTAAAAAAAAAATAATATTTCCTATACCAGAGCCAATAGCCGATTAATTATTAATAATATATTGTAAAACTAAAAGTATTGTGATATCTGGCGTTAGACCTAACTCTTTACGTGTAATATCTTTCTTTTCTTGGTATATAAATGCCACTGCCACGTCTAAGAATGTGTGTTTTCGAAAGATATTTTATGAATTGAAATATTATATATAAGACAGAATTACAAAAAGACAGTAATTAAAAATATGAAAATAATTTATATATGTTTAATATTTATAAAATATAAACATTATGCTTACAATAATTGAATTACAATTTTGTCTCATCTTTCACAAACACAGTTGTATTGTTGACGTTCAGTGGCCGCCGAGGAGAGAGAGACAAGTGTTACCTGTCAAAAGAAATAACAGCTGTTTGAGGTCAGCTAAATAAAAATTTATAACCAATTGCAGCAAACAGCAAAGTGTAATGAACTGTCTTATTAATTGTGTACTAATTAAAGTGTTAGTGTCCTTATAAGCATAATAATCTACCAAATTTAAGTGAATCTTTAAGACTGGCGGTGATGAGTTGGCCGGGGGAGTGTTGGCCGGGGGAGTGTTGATAACATTCCATACATTATTTTCATTACTATGCTAACAAACATCTAGTTATCTACATTCTCATTTAGCTATATTAGAATAAAGAATGTCACCTAAGCTCCTGTTCATTGTAATGGTTTGTTTTCTTCGGGATTTTACCTTATAATCCATTGATTGCATATTGTTGAGCAACAATTTATTTCAGAAATAGTAAATAATCCGTAACTTTGGATTCGTTTTCAAAATGCCATATATTGTCATTAAACAGTGACACTTTTAAGTAGGAATAAACCAAAATTCACTACTAGCTCAGTGGTTCATCCTCCACCATACACTACCGTAATGGTAATAGCCAAGTTCAATTGTGCACCGTAACTGCACAATATTTCACCATAGAACATCTAATAAATTGTAAATATTCGTTAGTGACCATAATGGGAAATTATTAATGATTAAATGTTTTTCATATGTCTCTTTATGGTGATTTAAATGAATAGCTATGATCTCGTTTCGTTGGTGACGTTTATGGAGATATGACCCACTAGCACTGCCAATGGAACTGCTTGGTAATCTTGGATGAAATGGCTAACACCAGAAGGCGTTGTTCAATTTTGTTAATTTTTTTCTGCATATGTTCTTATCATTATATTTTAAAATAGACAAAATTTACTAGAACCTCTTCTAGTACCTGACCTAACCAACCAAAAAAACCTACCTAACCTTACCTAACTTCCTAGCTCCCCTGCCATATTTTGATATCTGGTGTCAATAAAGCAATGTTGTTGTTGCGTCTTGGTGTAAATTTAAGTTTTTTGTGGATGTGAGAGTACACTCGGACTGGGCATGTCAGTTGTAAACATACTTAGCAAATGACAACACACACTGACTCGGCAGATTTTTTGGAGGAGTATTTGTGGTGAATAATAGTTTCTTCACGTACAAACCATGTAGACATCGTTTTAATGTTCTCTGATCAGGTTCTTATTGTGTTTTACCTCGTAATTTTCCTCATCCTTCATGCCCTGCCCACTACAGGTGATTTATGATCGTGGATAGAGAAAAAATACTTTTAATTAAAATAAAAAGTTATCGCCTATTTAAAAATACTTACTATAATGATAAGAACATCTGTGGAAAAAATGAATGAAATTGAACAACTTCTGGTGTTAGCCATATTCTTCAGTATTACCCTTTACTCTATAGCATTTCTGTCGATAATGTATAGTGTTGGAGCTATTTTCACTTTTTCATTTCACTTAAGAGAGTAAAAGTTCATGGGGTGTACTATATTGTTTACTTGTTAAGCCAATCAGCGGAAGCGTCAATGTTATGTGTTAAGCATGTTGATGCGCTTATTCACCCGTTTTCATGGGAAATTTATATTTTGGGGTATTTTTTACCTTTTAATATCAGGGCTTTTTTTTTTTTTTTTTTGCTCCTTTGTTTTCATTTTTCTTGTTGGGTTAGGTCAGGTCCTTCTTATGATTGGTGATTCATTACAAAATTAAAACCATAGCTAAGTCTTGGCTGGACCTCACAGTCTCCCATTACATTTCTCAGTAACTTTACTTTACTTACTTATAATCATTGTGTATGCCAAACATGTTTTAAAACCATTTAAGGTGTTTTAAGGAAGACCATTTTTTTGTTTTGTTTTTATCAATGTACAGTACAATATCTCCGCTTTTATAATAGAAGTCTATGGGAAAACATGATCTGATTTACAAAAAAAAAAAGATTAACAAAAGATTTTTCAGGAATGAAACCCTTTCATAAATCTGGTAATGTCTGTACATTACTGATGATACTGTACACAGTTTAAGCCACCAAATTGAAAGATAAAAGTATAGGTAGCCAGTTAAGGGAGCTCTTGAAAGGCCTGTAATTAATAATGCTTAGTTTACCTAATAGTACAAACTGGGACTCTATGCCATCATGTAAACACTGCTGACCCACAAAGACATAAAAAAATTGTCATAAAGCATTGATGATGATGATTTAAATGTTGTAGATCACTTGTATTTAACATCTCATAATTTTTCACACAGTAATTTTTCAAGTTTTGGGCTTTTGTCAAGCAATTTAGAACGTTTTTTAATTTTTATAAGTAAATATTTTGTTTAACATCCTGACATCATAACTTAGGACAATGGTAAGATTCCTTGAAATTATGCTAGTTGATTCTGTATTGACTGTGAGTACTGTATTACTTTCATTAACATTGACCTCTAACTAATGACTTTATGTACAGAACATTACTCAAGAATAAATTTTTGTTTTCAGGTGGGAAGTGACTGATTCCATACCTTGAACCATGGGGACCCAGGAACAACCATGTTACACCCTAATACAAGGGCCAACTGATACAGAACAGCCCTCAGAAATGACATTAAAACAGGACCTAGGTAATACTTTTAAGCCAATATATTTTTACTACTTGTGTACAATTAACATAATGTACCTTTTCTTAAAGATTTGAATGGTTCACCACCAGCATGTTGAACTCATTAACTATGTAGTGAAATACATTTGCTGTTATTTTCCTTTTTAATAACACATTGATCATGACAAAATTGCCCTCTTTCCAGAAAATGGTGATATCCCTGTCAAGACTGCTGCTCTGAAAAAAGTCATCCAGCTTATTTTGAATGGAGAACGTCTCCCTGGGATCTTGATGACTGTAATACGCTTTGTTATGCCGTCCGAGGATCACACCATCAAGAAGCTACTGTTGGTGTTCTGGGAGATTGTCCCCAAAACCACACCTGATGGCAAGCTGCTGCAGGAAATGATTCTCGTGTGTGATGCATATAGGAAGGTAATTTTCTTCTCTACATATTTACTTATACTGTAATTTAATTAACATGTTACTAGTACTGTACCAAATTTTATAACCGTAATTATTCTAAGAAGGGTGGAAATGTAGTTATATAAAAGCAACATGAGAGTAGAGGAACAAGGATGTAGAAAATGAGAAATATAGAATTGAGTGATGTTATGGGTTGAGGGATTTAATTGTAGGGTAAAGAGCAAGTCAGTGTTTGCTCAGGTGGTATGTCCATAGATGGTACAATGTACTCATAGATCATTCACCATAGTGATCCCAGCAGAAAAAAATTGAGAGGTGTTAGGTTAGAGACCCTGGTGGCAATTGGTCCTTGCTATCCAGTCTTTACTGATATGTTGTGATTCCTTCTCCTGAAAAAGAAAATAAGAGAAAAACGTTAATTTTCATACACTGTACTGTAGTGTGTGAACTATGAGACATGTGATCCTGTAGGTCTTTAATTGCTTATTTATTATATCTTTATATTTCTTCAGTTTGTCATGAGTATTTTGTGATCAGTTCAAGAGATCTCATCTTTACACTTATAGAGTGTTTCTTTTCCCCTTTTTATCGTGTTTAGTTAAGTTTGATATAGCTTATCCTAGAAATTGTTGGTGCTCTTTGTTTCCTAGTTTTGACTGAAATGTTTTCTTCAGGATCTTTCTCATCCCAATGAGTTCATCAGAGGATCAACTTTAAGATTCTTATGTAAGCTTAAAGAGCCAGAGCTGCTGGAGCCCCTGATGCCCACTATTCGCACATGTCTTGAACACAGACATTCCTATGTTCGCAGGAATGCTGTGCTTGCAATTTTTACAATATACAAGTAAGTACAGATACAGTTTTGTGTACAGAAATAAAATGCAGTAGCATGTTTGTTTCCTGTTATTTTGGGGTAAATTCTTTTTGTGAAATTACAATTATGTTACGGTATTTATATTACTTGACTCAAATTTTTGCTTTGCTTTATTTCTCAGGAACTTCGACTTTCTGATCCCTGATGCTCCTGAACTCATTTCTAACTTCTTGGAGGGTGAGCAAGACATGTCATGCAAGAGAAATGCCTTCATGATGCTGATACATGCTGACCAGGAGCGGGCCCTCACTTACTTGTCAACGTGTATTGATCAAGTCAACTCCTTTGGAGATATTCTGCAGCTTGTTATTGTAGAACTTATATACAAGGTGACTTTCTAAATTTCTGTATTTATTTTTGTTATTCTGTTTTATCATATGATATACTTTTCTCTGTGTACTCTGAAGAATAATTTTATCTCAAAATCAGGGTACCTGTAGGGATATATGTTCTTTATCGGTGTTTACTCGCTCTTTTGTATGTTGTCAACATCACAAACTGTGTTGGTGGTTGCACCGAGCTTAATATTGTTTACTTAAAAATACCAACCTATTGAATTGTCTTCTAAGTGCTTTATGAGATGAGGAAAAATATTTATTAACCATTAAACTGCAGCCCAAGAAAAATTGCCAACTCTGCCTATGTGCAACAAGCCTTTTTTTTTTTTTTTTTTAATCTTACAAAAACAATAGATTTTCAAAATAGAATTGTGGACAAGCATGCAGAATAACAGAATAATACTCCTCTTATAACTTGTCTGGTGGATGTTTTCTGCATTTGCAATCCCATTATAATGATATGCAATACACTAATGAGCAGGGACCCAGCTGTTGCCGAGTGGAGTTTGGATGTTGATGGTCATTCGTGGCTGATATTTGGGTGTTGGTAGGTGGCAGTGCTACCATGAGGTAGTCAGTGGGTTTTGTCTACTTACTTTACTTATTTTATTTTTACAGTTATTGTAATTGTAATAATTTCCTCCTACTTTTCTAACTCAAGCCCAGTTCACAGCAGCCCATTTTCATATCCGTCTCTGACATCATATTGGCATCAGTGACGCCATATCAGGCCAGTTTGGTGAACGTCGTGTGTGAATCGGGGAATTTCATCTGCCTGTTTGTAATGTGTTTGTCAACATGGGCGAGATAAACCATTGTTATTTTGCCCGTATCAATAGACGTTGGCTGCAGTTTAAGGGTTAAGTATTGAACCACTATTTACAAGCATACAATTTGCAGGTATGTCATGCCAACCCAGGAGAGAGGGCACGCTTCATCAGGTGCATCTACAATCTTCTCAACTCCAATAGTCCAGCAGTCCGCTATGAAGCAGCTGGAACTCTGGTGACCCTCTCCTCGGCACCCACAGCCATCAAGGTGGGCACTTGTCATCATGTCAGTCTGTTAAATTGTTGGAGCTCTGAATTTGTTCACCAAATTCTATGTATCAATAGAGAGGCCCTCAGTATTTACAGTATTATAGGTTAATTTAGAAAGAATTTTCATAATTATGTCCTACCTGACAAATTACGTAGCTATATTAAAGCAATTATTCCTCGAGGTTATAGTTTTTCCAAGTGTCCCTCATTTAAAGTGAGAATTGTGTTCTTAGAGACAGCTGGTAGCTACAGTATAAGTGAAGTTGAGATAAGTGAAAGAGGGGATATATTTCCAGCTACTGACAAACTAGCCCTTTTAATGACGATTCTTTACTTATTAACCCCTGGTGTATGGGCTCCCTCTGAGCTGATTAAAGTTGTCTGACGATAGCCAAATAAAATATTCAAATTGGCATCCCCATTGAGAAGGGGTGAAGTTTTTAGCAAACAGGAATACCACTGGCATGATATGAGTACAGTATAGAAAACTATATAATTGCATGAGTAGTGTGATGCATAGTCATGTATATGGTGTATAATTATAACTTGGTATAAACTAAAAAAAATTGCAAAAATTAAATCGGCTCATAAAAATCCAGTTCTTTTGAGGTCGATATAAATTAAGTCAATGTATTAAGCTTTTAACTTTTAATTATAGATTTAATACGAGCAAATATACATGTTCCAATATGCAAAAATGTTGAGTGGATATTTATTATTTGAGTACTTTTGGTTTAGGTTGAATTTTATTTTATTTTTATTTTTTCAGGCTGCAGCTAATTGCTACATTGAATTGATTGTTAAAGAGAGTGATAACAATGTCAAACTTATTGTCTTGGATCGCTTGGTAGCACTTAAAGATTCACCGCAGCAAGAAAAAATTCTGCAGGAACTAGCCATGGATGTTTTGAGGATTCTTTCTACTCCAGATTTGGAAGTTCGGAAGAAAACATTGAATTTGGGTAAGATACTAATACCATTACTTTGGCACTGTCCAGTAAATGCCATGGAGATAGAAAAAAACGTTTCAAAATGAATTTCTGGGTCCACAAGAAATTTATCCTTGCTTTTAGTGGTCATGTATATTTTTAGTTATTTTTATTGGGATACAAATTAGTCACACAACCATGCCTGTCTGTACAATAGCCCTGCCTGTATCTATTCTGACCATCTTTATAACCATTTAAAATCTGTCTAGTCTACTCTTACAATCTCTCTTTTTTATCATTGCAGTCAAGTTAATTAGCAAATACTTTCCACAGCTTTGGAACTAGTAACAATGCGCTCAGTGAATGAGATGGTTGAGGTGCTGAAGAAGGAAGTTGGCAAGACACACAACACTGTTGAACATGAAGACACTGGCAAGTGAGTACTAATGATTTTCACCTTACATAGGAGTGAATAGATTGGTCTCTACATGCAGCTTCCTCTCACAGATGTACAGTACAGTATATCTTATCCATGCCCTTTCCTCTATTCTGCATCCTGTCTTCCGTCTCATAATTTTTCATCCCATCATAAGGTTTTTGGAATTGTTTTATTCTCACATATCTTCATGTGCCTGTTTGTATTGCTGTTGTGATAAGGGTGAATTGTGTTTTATGTATTTCTATTAGTTGTTTCAGCCTGTTCGTGTCATACTACATTTGTCTTCTCTTTTTCTTTTTCAGTAATTTCCTGTATTTCATAGACTGTCACGCATAAAAACAGACTAAGGATCATGTGAAGATTAGGCACACCAGTTTATTTCACCTTATGGTTAACCAATCTAAACCTAACCTAACTTCACATGATTCACAGATTAATTTCTATCCTCCACAGGGTTACTTGATCCCCAGTTTCCTCACTACCTCCAATAAGATAATTTCCACACGTGGATGATACATACACTCAACCCTCAATAAATCAACAAGCTAGGGGTTCTGGCTTCACTGAAATAATGAATTTGCCAAATTAGTCGGAATTTCCATAATTGTGCACTGTTTCAGATGTACTGTATATTGTGTGCCAAGATTTTAGAATGGGTTTGCAAATTTTTATTTATTTATATATAATGCACAGGTACTCCTCGACTTACGACCTACTCGACTTACGACCACCCGGACGTACGACTGCAGCAGTCGTATAAAATATTTTTCAAATTACGTATTTTCGAGTCCCGACGTTAGTGATTGCGCTGTGTACTAAAAATTTTTTTTTTGTAATTCCCTTGAAAATGGCTGGCCAGCGTAAAAGTGAGAGTTCTCGTGGTGCTGAGAAGAAAAAGAGACGCCCATTTTAGATTTTCTATGTATTATTTTTGCCTTTTGGACATAGGTCCAATTCGACTTACGACCTGGTCATTGGTCCCTAACCCTGTCATAAGTCGAAGACTGACTGTACAGCATTTCATATATTTTTTCTTAAAATTTTTTGGGGGGGTTGCACAGGTGTAGAGAGCTGTTAGTGAATCAAGTTTACCATTGAGCATTGTGTAATGGCAACTTAGTAGCAACACACACATACCTGTACCAATAATCTTGTTACACTCATTAATTTCTTATATTTTAGTTGGGAATCCTTGAATTATTTGTGTATATGTATACAGATATTTGTCACCTGGGTTCCATACACCATCAAACAGTGCCTGTGGTGACCTGCAACCTCACAATAAAGTACTGTACTCATTGTAATTTCTCATTCACTTTTTTTTTATTTGCTGAATTAGCCCCTTGTGTAATTATATCATCTTATAAAGGCACAAGTTTCAGCTTCACATAGTAGTATACCACTGCTCTTGGAATTGTTTTAATTATCTGCTTTTTTCAGAACTTTTTCCTTTCTGGGAAATATTCATTCTTCATAAGCATTTGAACATAAAGTATCAGCCTATCAAGTATTCATTACATTACTCTCATTCACTCACACTTCAAATTTCTTCATATTCTGAGTTGTTTCCTGCAACACATATTCTGTTTTTTTAATTATGTAAAACTTAGTTGCATATAAGTAGCTATGTTCTCACTGCTGCATTCTATTTTTCATGCTTTATAGTCCACTCTTTCTTTTGCAAGGTACCGGCAGCTACTTGTCCGCACCTTGCACACCATCAGCATGAAGTTCCCAGATGTGGCTGCTAATGTTATACCTATCCTGATGGACTTCCTGTCTGACAATAATGAACTGGCTGCAACAGATGTTCTGGTCTTTGTCAGGGAAGCCATTCAAAGGTTTGAGGTAAGGTCTCTTTTTTTTCCAAGTTATATGTAAGAATAGAATTATTTATAGCTATACACTGCATAATACAAGTGAATATTACTATCGGTTTTTGTCATTTAGGTAAGGATTTGGTGTGACTATTTAGTTTTTAGTCAGTATAAAAATGGTGAAGATGGCTGTTAGTGTTCTGGTACGATGGCTGTTAGTATTATGGTGAAATGGCTGTTAGTGTTGCACTGAAGATGGCTGTTAGTGTTATGGTGAGATGGCTGTTAGTGTTGCAGTGAAGATGGCTGTCAGTGTTGTTACGGTGAAGATGGCTGTCAGTGTTGTTACGGTGAAGATGGCTGTCAGTGTTATGGTGAAGATGGCTGCCCGTTATTTAAATTTGTTGATGTGGATTGTTTTTCTTCCAATATTTCATATATTCTGTCTCATATCATATGACAGATGAACAGTAATGCTGCATCTGTCATCACATGTTATGAAGTTTATATATAAGAAATAAACAGTTCTGTTAAGATTTGGTTGTTATTAGTGACTTAAATGTGAGAAGAAGTATCAGTATTTGCCCCTTTCTTGAAGTACAGTATAGGGTAAGGTTCACAGGCTGATGTTGAGTGACATATAAAAGTGTAATTTAGGAGATAAGGTGAAAACTTGGAATAGTTTGCAGGGGTGAATAACCAGTGTCACTTCACAATCTGAAATAGATGGTCTCGTGGTGTAGAAAATTTGAAATGTATAAATAAAGTGTTTACAATTCATTCGTCATTGTAGCTATAGCTAATTTTGCTCTTCATTTGTCAAAACTATTTTAACTCATATTAAATCATGATTTTGTAAACCTGACAAGATTTGTTGCTTTCAGTATTTATTTGGTAACTTTGAAAGTTATGTGCTAGTTCTTATTATTATTTGTTATTTTACGGTTTCTTTTTTTTACTTCTCTGCACAGGGTCTGCGTCCACAGATTATTGAGCGTCTTCTCTCGGCTCTGCCAACCATTTGTTCTGTTACTGTGCAGTGTCACACATTGTGGATCCTGGGAGAGTATGCCTCATCTTCAGGTATGGTTATCGAAGATGATAAGTTCATCACTTCTAAATATACACATATTATTAAAAAAATTATAAATCATGCATACGGTACTGTATTTTATTATTATGAGGACACTATTTCATATAGCTTAATGCCATGTCTCAAGCAATTTTCGGATTTACTTTTATAGCCTGATGCATTATCAGGTGCATAGAATAATATGTACACTTAAGCCTGGCAGCTTAAAGTCCCAGATGACCCTTAGCTTAGTTGGCTGGATAATAGCCTCAAATTAGAATTTAGAGCAATCTAAAGATAAGTCCCACCTCCTTGTCACAATTGTGAAGGGGTTAAGGGTAGGACACCTGGTTTGAATCAACAATGCTCTCTCAGTGAATTGGTGAAACTGGCTAACTCTCAGAAAACTTGGGGTAATTAGTGGTCGTAATGACACTTGGAAGATTTTAATTAAAATTTTTGATGCTACCGGTAATTACTTGCCAACTATGGGTTCCGAGGTGGGATTTTGTTTTGTTTTTTGTTATTCTGGAAGTACTTAATTAGGTAAACCCCTAAAATTCTGATTCTGAGAGAAAGGTATTATGTCGGTCAAAATATTCTAAAGGTATTAATTGGGCTTAATGTTTCGGCCATTTCGGCCTAAAATTGGATTTTGTTCAAAATCTCGGTATAGGCACTCCTGAGCATTCTGATTGCGAATCTATGGTCCACGATTTGATTGTGGGGTTATTCGTGGTCGTAATGATGTTTTGATCTTAATTTGCCTAGCAAAAGGCAAATTAGTGGATTGATCCTAAAATCCCATTTCATAGCCAAGATGGCTAACAGTAACAACTGACAAACAAAGTGCATGCATGTTAGTCTGATGACTTGTAAGTTTCCTCCCTTTGATGGGATGGGAACTTGTGCTTTTATTCTCATTTTTTGAGGACAGCAATTGTGATAGGAAGGTAGGAATAACATTTGGATTTTTCTTAGGATAGATTAAATTAGACAATACTACCCATCCATTAATGCTTAGGATCATCTGGGTATGTGGCCTTCCAGGCATAGTTTAGCTATACAGTTTAATTAATTCAAGCTGCCTGGCTTGCTATAAAATGGAGCTAAAGATCATTCCTACATTCCTCATAAAATGAAGGAAGCTGCACTTTTTTATAGCTTTAAAAGATAAAAGCTGAAGGTAGCAATGTCAACAGGAGAGGTTTCGGGTGTGGTGTCTGCTGTGCGGGGGAGCCTTGGAGAACTACCCATTGTGGAGGATGAGATGCGTAAGGCTGCAGGTGAAGCTGGAGAAGAGGAAGGTTCTGGTGATAAAGCCACTCAACAACAACAACAACAACAGAAAGTCACTGCTGATGGCACTTATGCTTCCCAGTCTGCCTTTTCAACAACTACGTAAGTCTAATTGTATTGGAAAATATACTGCTGAATAGGGGAAAATTGTGGAGGGACTTGGGTATCTAATTTTAATGAATATAATTGATCAAAGTAATTTTTAATTTAATCTTGACTTCGGAATTCTTTTTGGACAGGTCGGTTAGAAAGGCAGATGACCGACCACCTCTGAGAAAGTATCTTCTTGAAGGCAACTTCTACCTGGGGGCTGTCATTGCTAACACCCTTGTCAAGCTGGCTTTCAGGTACAGTATTTCTTTGATCTACATCAGACTTTTTCTCTTTTATTAATATGATCTTGCCTGCTGTTTTATGAGAAAAATTATATGGAAATACTTTGTACTGTATAAATATTATGCTTCGGTTTATATAGTAGTTTAATATTTGACATAGCTAATTCCACTTTGGTTTAGTGAAAAATATGTTAGATAGAGCCATGAGAACAGTTACCGTCTGTTATTTGACTGATTGACATTACGAAAATGGAAAATCTTTAAGAAAAAAATATTATCTTTGACCTTTGACTCAGCAAAGAAGTAACCATCATAATTTACATATTGAGCTAAATTACAGTACATTTGTTTAAATTAGAATGATTAAAATATAATGTTGCTCACTTTGAAGCTCCTTTTTTAATAAATAGTCTCCATTTTTATGATTGTGTCTTGACTTAGTTTATTTTCTGCAATAGGTACACTTCTCTGGAAAGTGAGCTTAGTAAACAGAATGCCTTCTGTGCTGAAGTGATGTTGGTGATCTCCTCCATTGTCCACTTAGGCAAATCTGGTTTACCACAAAAATCTATGACTGATGATGACTATGATCGCATGATGCTGTGCCTCCAGGTAAGTGTGATAATACTGTAGTTGGTGTTGTAATTCTCCCTAAGTACCATTTCTTTTTCAAGAAAATTCACATTTACTCAGCATTCAATTAGGTTTGAGAATAAAAAAAAAAAAGTGAGTCTTAAAACCACTGTAACAACATTTAGATCTGTAAAGCATTGTCACCAAAACCAAGGTGTCTACTGGTCTGGAAAACCTGGAAAAGGCAGGGCATTTTATTTGGGGCTGGAAAACCTGGAATATCCAGAGAATTTTACAAAGAAACCGTTGAATTTTATGTGAATTCAGTTCAACTTTAAAATACAGCATGCCCTTCAAATTCGTGGGGGTTAGGTTCTCAAAATGGCCACTTATGGGTTTTCGAGGTCATTTCTTGGTGCTTGTGTATTATTCTGGATGTACTTAAATAGTTAGGCACATTAAATTTTAGTTCAGAGAGAAAACGTATTTTTGGCCAAAAATCCTTTAAGGCTTTAGACTTACAATTTTTGTCATTTTCGGCCAAAAAATGGATTTTGTTCAAAATTTCAGTATAGGTACTCCTGAATGTGCTGCTTAAGGATCTGTTAACCAAAATTTGATATCTTGATTATAACTTGTTCAAATGGCTTTTAGAAAATGTTCAAATGATTTTTAGAATATTTTAATTACTTTTGCAATGCTAATTACTGGCCACTTATGGGTTTTTGAGGTCATTTCTTTGTGCTTGTGTATTACTCTGGATGTACTTAAATAGTTAGGCACATTAAATTTTAGTTCAGAGAGAAAACGTATTTTTGGCCAAAAATCCTTTAAGGCTTTAGACTTACAATTTTTGTCATTTTCGGCCAAAAAATGGATTTTGTTCAAAATTTCAGTATAGGTACTCCTGAATGTGCTGCTTAAGGATCTGTTAACCAAAATTTGATATCTTGATTATATCTTGTTCAAATGGCTTTTAGAAAATGTTCAAATGATTTTTAGAATATTTTAATTACTTTTGCAATGCTAATTACTCGCCACTTATGGGTTTTCGAGGTCATTTCTTGGTTCTTGTGTATTATTCTGGATGTACTTAAATAGTTAGGCACATTAAATTTTAGTTCAGAGAGAAAACGTATTTTTGGCCAAAAATCCTTTAAGGCTTTAGACTTACAATTTTCGTAATTTCGGCCAAAAAATGGATTTTGTTCAAAATTTCAGTATAGGTACTCCTGAATGTGCTGCTTAAGGATCTGTTAACCAAAATTTGATATCTTGATTATAACTTGTTCAAATGGCTTTTAAAAAATGTTCAAATGATTTTTTGAATATTTTAATTACTTTTGCAATGCTAATTACTCGCCACTTATGGGTTTTCGAGGTCATTTCTTGGTGCTTGTGTATTATTCTGGATGTACTTAAATAGTTAGGCACATTAAATTTTAGTTCAGAGAGAAAACGTATTTTGGCCAAAAACCTTTGGTTATTTTAGACTTACAATTTTTGTCATTTTCGGCCAAAAAATGGATTTTGTTCAAAATTTCAGTATAGGTAATTCTTGAATGTGCTACATGATCTGTTAACCAAAATTTGATATCTTGATTATATCTTGTTCAAATGGCTTTTAGAAAATGTTCAAATGATTTTTTAGAATATTTTAATTACTTTTGCAATGCTAATTAATCGCCACTTATGGGTTTTCGAGGTCATTTCTTGGTGCTTGTGTATTATTCTGGATGTACTTAAATAGTTAGGCACATTAAATTTTAGTTCAGCGAGAAAACGTATTTTTGGCCAAAAATCCTTTAAGGCTTTAGACTTACAATTTTTGTCATTTTCGGCAAAAAATGGATTTTCTTCAAAATTTCAGTATAGGTACTCCTGAATGTGTTGCTTAAGGATCTGTTAACCAAAATTTGATATCTTGATTATAACTTGTTCAAATGGCTTTTAGAAAATGTTCAAATGATTTTTAGAATATTTTTAATTACTTTTGCAATGCTAATTACTCGCCACTTATGGGTTTTCGAGGTCATTTCTTGGTGCTTGTGTATTATTCTGGATGTACTTAAATACTTAAATAGTTAGGCACATTAAATTTAGTTCAGAGAGAAAACGTATTTTTGGCCAAAAATCCTTTAAGGCTATAGACTTACAATTTTCTTCATTTCGGCCAAAAAATGGATTTTGTTCAAAATTTCAGTATATGTACTCCTGAATGTGCTGCTTAAGGATCTGTTAACCAAAATTTGATATCTTGATTATAACTTGTTCAAATGGCTTTTAGAAAATGTTCAAATGATTTTTAGAATATTTTAATTACTTTTGCAATGCTAATTACTCGCCACTTATGGGTTTTCGAGGTCATTTCTTGGTGCTTGTGTATTATTCTGGATGCACTTAAATAGTTAGGCACATTAAATTTTAGTTCAGAGAGAAAAAGCATTTTTGGCCAAAAATCCTTTAAGGCATAAGACTTACAATTTTTGTCATTTTCGGCCAAAAAATGGATTTTGTTCAAAATTTCAGTATAGGCACTCCTGAATGTGCTGCTTAAGGATCTGTTAACCAAAATTTGATATCTTGATTATAACTTGTTCAAATGGCTTTTAGAAAATGTTCAAATGATTTTTAGAATATTTTAATTACTTTTGCCATGCTAATTACTCGCTACTTATGGGTTTTCGAGGTCATTTCTTGGTGCTTGTGTATTATTCTGGATGTACTTAAATAGTTAGGCACATTAAATTTTAGTTCAGAGAGAAAACGTATTTTTGGCCAAAAATCCTTTTAGGCTTTAGACTTACAATTTTTGTAATTTTCGGCCAAAAAATGGATTTTGTTCAAAATTTCAGTATAGGTACTCCTGAATGTGCTGCTTAAGGATCTGTTAACCAAAATTTGATATCTTGATTATAACTTGTTAAAATGGCTTTTAGAAATGTTCAAATGATTTTTAGAATATTTTAATTACTTTTGCAATGCTAATTACTCGCCACTTATGGGTTTTCGAGGTCATTTCTTGGTGCTTGTGTATTATTCTGGATGTACTTAAATAGTTAGGCACATTAAATTTTAGTTCAGAGAGAAAAAGTATTTTTGGCCAAAAATCCTTTAAGGCTTTTAGACTTACAATTTTTGTCATTTTCGGCCAAAAAATGGATTTTGTTCAAAATTTCAGTATAGGTACTCCTAAATGTGCTGCTTAAGGATCTGTTAACCAAAATTTGATATCTTGATTATAACTTGTTCAAATGGCTTTTAGAAAATGTTCAAATGATTTTTAGAATATTTTAATTACTTTTGCAATGCTAATTACTCGCCACTTATGGGTTTTCGAGGTCATTTCTTGGTGCTTGTGTATTATTCTGGATGTACTTAAATAGTTAGGCACATTAAATTTTAGTTCAGAGAGAAAACGTATTTTTGGCCAAAAATCCTTTAAGGCTTTAGACTTACAATTTTTGTCATTTTCGGCCAAAAAATGGATTTTGTTCAAAATTTCAGTATAGGTACTCCTGAATGTGCTGCTTAAGGATCTGTTAACCAAAATTTGATATCTTGATTATAACTTGTTCAAATGGCTTTTAGAAAATGTTCAAATGATTTTTAGAATATTTTAATTTTACTTTTGCAATGCTAATTACTCGCCACTTATGGGTTTTCGAGGTCATTTCTTGGTGCTTGTGTATTATTCTGGATATACTTAAATAGTTAGGCACATTAAATTTTAGTTCAGAGAGAAAAAGATTTTTGGCCAAAAATCCTTTAAGGCTTTAGACTTACAATTTTTGTCATTTCGGCCAAAAAATGGATTTTGTTCAAAATTTCAGTATAGGTACTCCTGAATGTGCTGCTTAAGGATCTGTTAACCAAAATTTGATATCTTGATTATAACTTGTTCAAATGGCTTTTAGAAAATGTTCAAATGATTTTTAGAATATTTTAATTACTTTTGCAATGCTAATTACTCGCCACTTATGGGTTTTCGAGGTCATTTCTTGGTGCTTGTGTATTACTCTGGATGTACTTAAATAGTTAGGCACATTAAATTTTAGTTCAGAGAGAAAACGTATTTTTGGCCAAAAATCCTTTAAGGCTTTAGACTTACAATTTTTGTCATTTTCGGCCAAAAAATGGATTTTGTTCAAAATTTCAGTATAGGTACTCCTGAATGTGCTGCTTAAGGATCTGTTAACCAAAATTTGATATCTTGATTATAACTTGTTCAAATGGCTTTTAGAAAATGTTCAAATGATTTTTAGAATATTTTAATTACTTTTGCAATGCTAATTACTCGCCACTTATGGGTTTTCGAGGTCATTTCTTGGTGCTTGTGTATTATTCTGATGTACTTAAATAGTTAGGCACATTAAATTTTAGTTCAGAGAGAAAACGTATTTTTGGCCAAAAATCCTTTTAAGGCTTTAGAGTTACAATTTTGTCATTTTCGGCCAAAAAATGGATTTTGTTCAAAATTTCAGTATAGGTACTCCTGAATGTGCTGCTTAAGGATCTGTTAACCAAAATTTGATATCTTGATTATAACTTGTTCAAATGGCTTTTAGAAAATGTTCAAATGATTTTTAGAATATTTTAATTACTTTTGCAATGCTAATTACTCGCCACTTATGGGTTTTCGAGGTCATTTCTTGGTGCTTGTGTATTATTCTGGATGTACTTAAATAGTTAGGCACATTAAATTTTAGTTCAGAGAGAAAAAGTATTTTTGGCCAAAAATCCTTTAAGGCTTTAGACTTACAATTTTTGGTCATTTCGGCCAAAAAATGGATTTTGTTCAAAATTTCAGTATAGGTACTCCTGAATGTGCTGCTTAAGATCTGTTAACCAAAAATTTGATATCTTGATTATAACTTGTTCAAATGGCTTTTAGAAAATGTTCAAATGATTTTTAGAATATTTTAATTACTTTTGCAATGCTAATTACTCGCCACTTATGGGTTTTCGAGGTCATTTCTTGGTGCTTGTGTATTATTCTGGATGTACTTAAATAGTTAGGCACATTAAATTTTAGTTCAGAGAGAAAACGTATTTTTGGCCAAAAATCCTTTAAGGCTTTAGACTTACAATTTTCGTCATTTCGGCCAAAAAATGGATTTTGTTCAAAATTTCAGTATAGGTACTCCTGAATGTGCTGCTTAAGGATCTGTTAACCAAAATTTGATATCTTGATTATAACTTGTTCAAATGGCTTTTAGAAAATGTTCAAATGATTTTTAGAATATTTTAATTACTTTTGCAATGCTAATTACTCGCCACTTATGGGTTTTCGAGGTCATTTCTTGGTGCTTGTGTATTATTCTGGATGTACTTAAATAGTTAGGCACATTAAATTTTAGTTCAGAGAGAAAACGTATTTTTGGCCAAAAATCCTTTAAGGCTATAGACTTACAATTTTTGTCATTTTCGGCCAAAAAATGGATTTTGTTCAAAATTTCAGTATAGGTACTCCTGAATGTGCTGCTTAAGGATCTGTTAACCAAAATTTGATATCTTGATTATAACTTGTTCAAATGGCTTTTAGAAAATGTTCAAATGATTTTTAGAATATTTTAATTACTTTTGCAATGCTAATTACTCGCCACTTATGGGTTTTCGAGGTCATTTCTTGGTGCTTGTGTATTATTCTGGATGTACTTAAATAGTTAGGCACATTAAATTTTAGTTCAGAGAGAAAACGTATTTTTGGCCAAAAATCCTTTAAGGCTTAGACTTACAATTTTTGTCATTTCGGCCAAAAAATGGATTTTGTTCAAAATTTCAGTATAGGTACTCCTGAATGTGCTGCTTAAGGATCTGTTAACCAAAATTTGATATCTTGATTATAACTTGTTCAAATGGCTTTTAGAAAATGTTCAAATGATTTTTAGAATATTTTAATTACTTTTGCAATGCTAATTACTCGCCACTTATGGGTTTTCGAGGTCATTTCTTGGTGCTTGTGTATTATTCTGGATGTACTTAAATAGTTAGGCACATTAAATTTTAGTTCAGAGAGAAAACGTATTTTTGGCCAAAAATCCTTTAAGGCTTAGACTTACAATTTTTGTCATTTTCGGCCAAAAAATGGATTTTGTTCAAAATTTCAGTATAGGTACTCCTGAATGTGCTGCTTAAGGATCTGTTAACCAAAATTTGATATCTTGATTATAACTTGTTCAAATGGCTTTTAGAAAATGTTCAAATGATTTTTAGAATATTTTAATTACTTTTGCAATGCTAATTACTCGCCACTTATGGTTTTCGAGGTCATTTCTTGGTGCTTGTGTATTATTCTGGATGTACTTAAATAGTTAGGCACATTAAATTTTAGTTCAGAGAGAAAACGTATTTTTGGCCAAAAATCCTTTAAGGCTTTAGACTTACAATTTTTGTCATTTCGGCCAAAAAATGGATTTTGTTCAAAATTTCAGTATAGGTACTCCTGAATGTGCTGCTTAAGGATCTGTTAACCAAAATTTGATATCTTGATTATAACTTGTTCAAATGGCTTTTAGAAAATGTTCAAATGATTTTTAGAATATTTTAATTACTTTTGCAATGCTAATTACTCGCCACTTATGGGTTTTCGAGGTCATTTCTTGGTGCTTGTGTATTATTCTGGATGTACTTAAATAGTTAGGCACATTAAATTTTAGTTCAGAGAGAAAACGTATTTTTGGCCAAAAATCCTTTAAGGCTTTAGACTTACAATTTTTGTCATTTCGGCCAAAAAATGGATTTTGTTCAAAATTTCAGAATAGGTACTCCTGAATGGGCTGCTTAAGGATCTGTTAACCAAAATTTGATATCTTGATTATAACTTGTTCAAATGGCTTTTAGAAAATGTTCAAATGATTTTTAGAATATTTTAATTACTTTTGCAATGCTAATTACTCGCCACTTATGGGTTTTCGAGGTCATTTCTTGGTGCTTGTGTATTATTCTGGATGTACTTAAATAGTTAGGCACATTAAATTTTAGTTCAGAGAGAAAACGTATTTTTGGCCAAAAATCCTTTAAGGCTTTAGACTTACAATTTTTGTCATTTTCGGCCAAAAAATGGATTTTGTTCAAAATTTCAGTATAGGTACCAGGGCTGTGGAGTCGAAGACAAAACCTTCGACTCCGACTCCTCAAATTTTTATGCTTCCGACTCCGACTCCTGGCCTATTTGTAACAACTATTTCTACCATCCTAATTGTAATTTGTATGTTGTAACCTGCATAGGTAAAAAGTAAAACACCGTGGCTATACTGCTACAGCTTTATTAATGATCTGGACGATATTTAAGAACTACAAAAAGATGATAGGCTTGACTTTCAAAGTTTCAATCAAAAGAAAAATAAATTTATTAAGAATTCAAGATATTAACTAGAAAACACCATTTACATGTATATCTAAAAGTTCGATCTCAGCATATGAATTTTGTTTAAGCTCATAATCTGATGTGGATCTAAATGATGATCCTACAATTCCTTTTAAAGTAAAGTTATATATTTATGTACATTAAAGAAATGAATACCTTATTAAGGAAAATGGATAAACCTTACATGATTAAGTTATTAAATTAAATTTGCCTTAATCTCACCAAAAACAGGTTGTAGCTAATTGTTTTGTAGCTGAGAGCCTCTGTGCAGTTTTCAACGAAACAAAATTTGATATAATTCAAAATTTCAAATGGTAAAGAAGAGACTATCGTCCAAAATTATAGTGCTATACTGTGCCTGCTACAATAAATTCATAATAATGCTTATAAAATGGAAATAAATTCTTTTAATAATTTAAGAAAATTAGTGGGATCAGTGGAATCACTGCAATGAATATGCCTGAGTTCATATATTTGTTCTTAGGAACAGAATAGCTTCAGTCGGAGTCGGAGTCTGGACAATTTTACCGACTCCGACTCCGCAAGCCGAAATTTCCTCCGACTCCCCGACTCCACAGCCCTGATTCCCTCTATGTGTTTGCCCTTAGAACAATTATTTCTTTTACCTGTATTGTATATATGTGTGTGTTTGTAGACACACACATACAAATAAATAAAAATGGGAAAATCTTCTCACAAATAATCAGAAACAAATATATTACAAATGTTGAGTCTACCCTTGTCCACTCCGTGGAGCAGGAGTGTAATTTTTCGGTTTTTGCTGGCTTTTGTGGAATGTCCAGGTCGACCCACATGAATCGCACAACTCCGAGGAGAAAAATATGGATGGGGGAGTTGTCAAGGTCTTTGCTGATGTTCATCACTAGGCTTTGGGAGGGTCACGAAAGGTTCTTCAATTTCTTTATTAATATCATTTATATCTTCTTTAAATTTCCCAATAGTATATACATATTATTGAGAACCTCTAATTCTGTTATTCTGTCGTAATAAACACCAAATTAATGTACCTGGAATTTTTTAAATTTTACACCTTGAAAAACTGAAAATGCCCTTAACCCCTTTGTGTATTGGCTCCCCTCTGTACTAAGTAAAATCATCTGGCATTAACCAAATAAAATATTAAAAGTTGCATCCCCGTGATGAAGGGGTTAAAGAAAAGTACAGTATTTTGGAAGATTTGGTAATAACTTTATATTTTATTTTTTGTCATAAAGAGTGAAATTTGGAAATTAAAGAAAATTTATAATTCAATGTTCTTCAAATGCTATTTATATGGTAAAATAGTGTCATTAAATCAGTGGGTAAGTGCATTGTCTGTTTACAGAACTAAAAGCAAATTTTGTAACTGCATTTATCAAGGCATAAATATAAACAAGCTTGATATGCCTATATATGTACATCTAATTTTCTCTCCTAGCATTTTATGTATACAGTATTACCCCGCCTAACGCGGTTTCACTTAACGCGTTTTATCATATACGCGGTGCCTCGCCAGAGCTGAACTTTCACTTAACGCGGAATTTTTCATCATATACGCGGGAAGCGGCGCGGGCACGATGCGCACAAGGTCGCCCAGTCATCAAAACATTACCGAGTTCTTCACCCACCACAGCTGGCCCAAGTCAGTGATAGTGATAATTATAGTGAGGATATGGACTTATATGGCCTTTGAGGGGTTTGACAAAGAGGCCCTGCAAGCCTATGTGGTGGATAGTGATACAGGTGAGGGCCAATAATCTGCCCTCTGCCTCGGAACCAACCCCCCATCCCCGTGTGCCCAGCCATCTTTTCTACTAATGCAAGTGTTAAAAAACCTAATATTATTGATATTTCTCTTAATTATTAATTGTGTGTGCATACCATCATAAAGTTAAGATAAAATTTTTACTACAACATAGTTGTGTGTCGTCAAAAAGTGGAGTTTGGGGGTCGGGCCAGTCTCTATTGGAATTAATCCCATATGTTCTGTTGTTCACTTAACGCGGTACCCTGTGGGTTCAATTGACCGAGTTAAGCGGGGTACTACTGTACTTGTTTCTGTCATGATTTAAAAGTTCCTCAGTATGATTGCAATTATGGATTTTTTGTTTCTTTAAACCACTGTGAAGATATTTATGATAAAGGAAAAAAGGAAATGATAGCAAAGACTTTATATTTAAAACTCTGTATTGTGCTTGCCCACTGAAACAAGCAATGGTAATCATTATACAGTATTACATGCTGTGCTGTTAAACTTGGCTGAAGCAGTGAGGTAGTTTAAACTTCATACCTTCCATCTGTATAGCTATCAATGTTATTCTGTTCCATCCTTGATAGGGTACAACAGACAGACCAAAACCAGAAGGCTTTCAACAGCAAGGAGTAAATCATTCTTCCTTTTTCTACCCCCTTTTTTTTGCCATACTAAAACACTGAATTTACAGGGGAATATATAAAGAATATATTTACAGGTTGTGTCAGAGCGCACCCCTAGTTTGGCTTCAGTGTTTACAAAGCAGTGCCGTGCAGCTCTTTCTCACATGTTGACGGCAAAGACTGAGGAAGAAGAAGCACTAAGGCGTGATCGTAAAGCCAGCAAAGTTATTGAGCATGTAGATGACCACATTGCTTTCTCACACTTGACGAAAGGTGGTGATCTCTCCTCAACGGATGATATGTTTGATCTCTCAATGTCCATGGCTGTTAGTGGTGGAAAGAAGGAGGGTATTGATCTGACCACAAGTAAATTGAGCAAGGTAAGGAACTCTGCCATTGTGGAAATAAAAAGTTCAACTCTGTTTTTTTTTAATTTCTCATTTATTTGATGATGTCTTTTTATTGGTATTAATGACTTTTGTTCATGCCTCCCTAAACCTCACAATGGTTTGCTTCTTTAACTTTCTTACTAATTAATTATTCTTTTTATTTTCAGCCAGACTATTTTATATACAGTACCTGTGTCACCCAATAAATGCCTTACAGTAGTATTAGCTGTATGTTTACTGCCATTGTTCAGAAAGACCATAATTATGAGTTTAATAGCTCATCATGCTGATAAATAAGTGAAAGAATGATTACAATATGCCATTGATAGTATACAATATTACAGAATGTGTAATAAATCTGTTCATGTTAAGCCTTATTTCCAGTCAGTACCTAGTATATGTCTCCAGGCTTTTGGCACATGAGTTGATACAGCACTCAGGCAGTTGTGTGTAGTGCTAACCATAATGCCTCCATGTGTACTGAAGACTCATTATCCAATGTGATGTAGCCATAGTCCTGTATACAGTGTCCATAATAGGCCATCAGGCTTATAGGATCCACTTTCAAATATGTCTCAAACTTTCTGTAAACTGGTTTCTAAAATCCATAACTTATTGAACAATTTTTTTTTTTTTTTTGCAGGTAACACAGCTCACAGGCTTTAGTGATCCTGTATATGCTGAGGCTTATGTCCACATCAATCAGTATGACATAGTCTTGGATGTGCTGATTGTCAACCAGACTGCAGACACATTACAGAACTGCACTTTGGAGTTAGCAACCCTGGGAGACCTTAAGCTGGTAGAGAAGCCTCAGCCTGTAGTACTTGCACCACACGATTTCTGTAATATCAAAGCAAATGTTAAGGTCGCCTCAACAGAAAATGGCTTCATTTTTGGCAACATAGGTAATTGCATTGTGCATATATTATAACCAATAAGCCTGTTTACTCAAAAGTAGATAGACAGTAGGGGTTTGTGTAAGTGTGGTAGTTGTTTTAGTCAAAAAAGAATATGTATATATTTGATAGAATTTGTATCTTTTAGAGCAAGTGGAAGTACCTGAGACAGTAGTAGCATGTGAAATATATTAGAAAATAGGAATTGTGGTAAAAGTGTTCAGTTAACGAGGAGAGAAAGACAATAATACAGAAAACTATCAATTTCCAGTCTTCAAGTTTGCAGTTTATAATATACAGTACCACAAGTCAAACTTGTTTAAATTATATAATTTCCATTTTCACATTGCCAGGTTTGGTCAACCATGGATGAATGATAGGAGTTATAGGTAGAAAATATAGTCCTATAATGGTAATTGAATTTTTGTGGGAAAAACTGTACCAAGAATTGTTTTGAGAAAAAATAAACAATATTTAAAAATCTGCTACAGTTTACAAGAAAATTTTCTGCACCCCTGGTACTTCTGATTGTGTGATGCATTGTGTAGCCAATATGATGTACACTCAACAGAAACTTCTCGAACACCTGGGCACGATGGATGTGAGAATAAGCAGAATGAGGCTTGTCATCTTGGAGTGGTTTCAGATTCTTAGTCCATTTTTTAGATTGCATAGTGCATATAGCGTTCGAGAAGTTTTGGGTAAGAGGGAATATTCTTTATATCACGTATAGTTAATACAGAGAAATTAACAGGAATACATAATAAGTTATGAATAAAATTTAGCCTCTGGACTTAAAATGGGAAATTGATATGAGAGAGATCCAGTTTCTAGGTTCACAATTTGCAGTTTTAAATCGGGGGGGGACTCACCTTCCACTAGGTAGCCTAGATATACTTTATGTAATCTCTTCTCCTCCCTCTCATTCACATGATAAACTGTAGATTTTAAACTTGTTAAAAAAATGTTCCAACACTTGATATTTTCTTGCAGTGTATGATGTGAAAGGCTCAACCAGTGACCGTAATGTTGTTATTTTGAATGACATTCACGTTGATATCATGGACTACATTGTTCCGGCTTCCTGCACAGACCTCGAGTTCCGACAGATGTGGCTTGATTTTGAATGGGAGAACAAGGTATATGATTATGAATATATTTTTTAGTACTTTTTCAAAGATTTATTACAGTACTGTATTAGCTCTCCTGTTAGAAATAGGACTTTTGGCTTACCCTTGTGTCCAAGTTATAAGGTTTATGTAGTGTGTTAAGTTCAATGTGCACCTGCAACTTCTGCAACTGAGCTTTGGTTAATATATTTTAAATTCGTGTGTTCTTTAGATTCAGACTCAAGTTGAATTATAATAGTATATTAAAAAGTGTTTTGAAATAAAAGAAATTGTTTTGAAGGGCGAGAAATTACAGTAATGTTTTAAGTAGGTTTTTGGGGCTTCATATTTTGTTAACAATGTGTATATTACACTTCTGTATATATAGGTACTGTATGTTGCTACACCCAAAGTTTCATTACTTGTATATACTAAAATTCTGAGCCTCCTTTATAGTAATCAGTGACTAAATCTTTTAGGAATGTGCCACTGTACCTTTCGCATCCATTTTAGGTGTCAGTCAACACCCAGATGACAGAGCTAAAGGCATACCTGGACTACCTTTGCAAATCTACCAATATGAAGTGCCTCACCCCAGAGAAGGCCCTTGGTGGTACAGGGGACTATATGGCTGCCAATCTTTATGCACATTCAATCTTTGGGGAAGATGCCTTAGCCAATTTGTCTATCGAGAAACCTCTTGGCAACCCTGATTCTGCAGTCACAGGCCACATCCGTATTCGTGCCAAGAGCCAGGTAAGAATCTACAAAGTTTGATTCAGTTTGATAAGTTGATTTAACAATGAGTAAAGGGGAATAAGTTTCATTCCTTCGTGTTTGTTTTTTATTGTGATGCAGGCTGGACTTGTCGGACCATGTTGTCCCATCCGTGTCACTCCACAACAATAACCCTCAAGATACTGCATTATACAGCATTTCAACGGGGAGTACAGTATTTAGAAAAAAACTGTTGCGTGTATTTTCCTCCTGTAATCATAGTTTCCTTAAAATAATATGTACAGTACTGGTAAATGTAATGAATAAATAAAAATAATACCAATAAATATGATAAAAAAAATGGATTGCAATCCAGTAAATGAAAGTTTAACACAATCGCCATTTGCATACACTCCCTGTTTTACCATAGCAATGCAGACCAGCAGGGACACTACTTCCACCGACTCCCTAGCAGCGCCCCCCCCCCCCTTTCCACACTCTGAGCACTCCTCCCACTCCCCCACGAGCCAGCTAACTCGTGTGCAAGGAATTGTATATTCCCTTATGTATGTAGGATGGTGTGTGCATGTAAATGAGTAAAAATAAATGAAAAAAGTTATGTGTATCTACCCAAAAATAACACCTCACATCTGGGCTTAGTAGCCGAGTGTTTACAGTGACAAGTCTAATATTGCTACAATGCCGCCAGCGATGTTAACAGACACAAAGGTGAAAAGAAAGTTACTGTATCTGTAAATCTTCATTTATGTCAGGTGTTTGTAGATTTAAAAATATAGGTTGCAGAAATGCAGGTATGACATTAATACAGTAGATAGGAATACTTGTAAGAGTTCAGAAATGGTTACTGCTTAGCTCTGAAGAGTTGGATGCCTGCTGTACGGTTATTAATCATCTCAGGTTATCATCACCAATACAGTAGTTATAAATCCAGCTTTTAATTTTACAATAATTATTTTATTTAGTTAATTAAAAATAATAATAATTTGTAAGTAGTTTAAGTAGGTAGGTAGTAGGCAGCTACCAAACAGGGAAGTACTACAGCCTAGGAAGATATTGGAAGCATAATGTATTGTCTAATGGTAGACCCTGCTGCCATATGGCATCACGAAAATTGTGACCAAGTCCCAGGTTGCTGATTGACTTTCTGCCTCATTTACACACAATTGCAGGGTCTCAATTGTTTCTCTTACCATTGACAACACAACATACGTTACGTACAATGTTTCTCACTCTTGATCTTTTTTTCATTTTTGTATTTCTTTAGGGTTCTTTATTATTATTATTATTATTATTTTTTTTTTTTATTATTACTGTACTGTATTATTATTATTATTACCATTTTGCCCCCCAGGCCCCTATGTGGGTCAATGACCTGTGTCCGGGTAGGCTAATCCCCGTAAAAAAAAAAATAACATACAGTATTTTAAATTTTGGAGTTGGGTTAGGTAGAATTTAGCCTACTGGAGACAGCAGGCCGATTTTTTAAACTATTTTTCAGAGAAAAAAGTGTTATGAGCTGTATAATTCGGTACTTGTTATTCATGTGTTGGGTACTTGGGGTGTTTACTGTATTGTAATTTACTAGACATATAGTATATTGATCTTTTTATTTTTTCCAGGGGATGGCCATCAGCTTGGGAGACAGAGTTAACAAGGTGCAAAAAGCAACTATCAAATCTGTAGGAGGTTGAGAAACTCTACAGGTCTTCCACAGTTTTATTTTGTGTTACAGAATATATTTTTTTCACTTCTTGTTTTTGAATTGAGGGCCTTTGCAATATATTTGCTTTGCTTTAAATTGGAATGACATACGTAAGTCATCATTGATATATTTCATATAGGTAAAGCCATTATGTTTTTTAATTCATGTGTTTTTGTTTTCAAGAAAAATATAAGAAAGGTTAAGGACATATCCTAACTGATCATTCTGAGGTCCATTTACTCTGTTAATTTGTTTTGTTCAATGTATATAATCAGGACTTTTTCTGTTATAACAATTGTATTTTAAAGTTAAGTTCATTGTTTTTATGATGGCCATGGATTAATAATAAATTACAGCTGACATTAATATTCTATTAAGGAAACCCACCTATTATATTTGTACACTAAAAACTTATAAGTATACAGAAACTCAAGGAAAGTACAGATGAATAGTAAAAAATATTCATTAACATAATGCTGTAATGATGATGTGTACTTATTGGGATTTTGATACTTACTGGAGAGATGTTAGCCCCAGGGGGAGGAGAAGGTGAGGATGTGGTTGAAGAGGATGAAGAGAAATGAGAGTAAGATCTTTTGGAGGTGACCGTATGGAAGCGAATTTTTTGCGAGTTATCCCTTTAAGTGAACTATTTACGATTTCTTTTATGTACAAATGTTTTTGTTTTGTGGATAACTCTACCAAATTGTGTCTAATATTGAAACTACATTGCGAGAGAGAGACAGGATGACTGCCAGAGTTAGGGAGATAAGATGGCTGGATGGCATTGGGAAGACAGAATAGTTACTTTGGGATCGAGTAACAGGATGACTGGGTATGATTGGGAACACATAGTAACGAGGTAGGTTATTTTACTCTTTCTTTCTTTCTTGTCACATTCGTTGTGGTGTCTTATCCTGGATGGGAGCAGTAGTTTGTATATCATCTATCCAACTGAGACTTCTGATATACAGTATATTTGATAAGTTAGATCATGTCCTACATTTATATAAAAGGGGATTTTTTTCAAATCGTACAGTGATACCCAACGTCATACAAGAACTCAGGGATGGCTCGAAGTGGTTGTGATTGTTGGGGGGGGGTAATTTTTTTTTACCATGTCGCCACTCAGCCTATCAAATTTGACCAACTAATGAGGATAATTTCTTTTGAGCACCATTGTACTATCCAGACATTGTTTCTGCACTATTATAGGTTTGAAACCAAATGGTATGTAGGTCAATTTTACTTTCTGAAAGGGAATTAAGTATTGCTTTTGCCAGACCTCCTTCTGTTTTGTCTTGTATTTCTGCGGTTTTTATAAGTTGTTCTTTAGGTTTGTCACTTGCGTCACCAAATCTAACTCCTACAGTTAACTGATTCACATGAGTAATATCTGGGGTTGTATCTGCTATTATTCCAATCATCCCAGCATATTTGCCTCTACAGTAATTTTGTCCTGAACACTTTCACCGAGCAATAATACATACTCTTTTTGACAATTCTTACTCACAAGTAGTGCGATAAACTCTGACATCTCTCTTAGTAAGCCAAGCTTTCATTGTAGTATTATGCCTACCAAGAAATTGAACAATCTTTTTAAAATTAGAATCAATTTAATTTTCATTCCGAAATGATGAACCTGGTTTAGCAAGTGTGCGGGCTATGTCTAACATCATCACATTTACTGTACTTCACACTGCTTCTGAAGGATTTTCTCTATCAAGCAATCTTATGTGTGGCATCATCATAACTGTTCAAAACACAATCCACTGGGTTACCTCTTGCTACAGTGTGTGTCCTTTCTTGACCATCTCCCTGGATTTTTGAGATCATTGTGACCAGCTCGAGACTAATCATTGAGGGCGTGACCCCCCCAACTTGAAACCAATCATAGGGAGGTCCCCCGCCCCCACTGCCCCCCAATCGGGTCATCCCTGCAAGAACCAATTCAACTGATCGGCTCGTTAGCCACTTGGGTGGTTGGTCACGTCTCTGTTATGCACTGTTGGTAAGTACTGGGCATGCACTGGCTCCCGAATGTATCTAATAATAATAATAATAATAATAATAAACTGTTTATTAATAGAGTTGTAGCTGGTGACTGAAAATATACAAACTTACATGTGACATAATAATATACGTTCAATACATTTACAGGGCTGTACAGTAGGTACATATATCAGGAGCTGTTATTATTTTAACAATAAATGGGATGGTGCTATTCTTATATCTATCAGTGCGGGTTCTTATGGGCTGAATTTTGTTGTAGTGGCGGACTGCGTGAGGTGGGCGGGGGACTGCCAGTGGCATAAATTTAAAGTTAGGAAATTGAAGTTGAGAGTAGTGACAGCCACATTACTTTCGTGTGTACTAGAAACTGTCAGGCTTGTGGAAATCACTTTTAATCAGGTTATCCGTTCCTAACCCGACCGCCAGCTTTCATGTTTAGTGCTTCTCAATCCACTTTACAAAAGTCTCACATTTCCTCTTCTTATCATCATTGGTGTGACTGCAGTATTGTTCATGATCAGGGAAATAATGTGCTAAGTTTGAGATAGTTCTGGTTATCTTACCATCCTTATCCTTGAGGTGACCTCCACCACCTGCGCCACACTGCTGCTACTCACGCCCACCTTCTTCCGAGTGTTTCTCACAAGAATAAAAAAGTATGCAGAGATTTTCACAGCAGCACCTACAAAAACATATACAGTTATCCCTCGGTTAACGAGCGCCTTGGTTAACGAGATTTCGGTTAACGATTTACCTTCCATAAGATTCTTAACTTCGGTTAACGAGCAATCCCTCGATTAACGAGTTTTTTACGTGCCGACTTCAACATGTTTTCGCTTGCATTTGGCGGTCCACCAGCTGTAGTATTAGTCCGCCAATACAGTACAGCTAGACCCCGACTTACGACGGGGTTAGGGACCCAAATCCAGGTCGTAAGTCCAACATAGATATAAAAAAGAAAAAAAAATTAATAAAAAATCTACAATGAAATACAGTACAGTAAAAGTAATGAATAATGAGGAATGGATACAGTACAGTGAAAGTAATAAATAATAAGGAATGGATACAGTGTGACTGAGCACTTTCCTTTAATGTAGTCAGCTGAATGCACATGGGGCCCCCATAATATTCTAATTATACATGGAGACTACATTAACTGGAAACGTTTCGGTATAGAAAATGCGTGTCATTTGAAAAAAAAAAAAAAAAAAAATTTAAATAAAAAATCTGCGGCGGTCGTAAGTCGTAGCAGTCGTAATTCGGGATCTAGCTGTAATCGGTTTTAGGGCTTAAATTCCTTACTATTTTAGTAAATATCAAGAAGTTTATACTATTCAATAATTTTAAGTTTAATATTAACTTTTTTAGTCATTTTAACAATTAATGAACATAATTGAAGGTAAAGAAACTAGTTTCTGGCATGCCATCCAGCCTGTTAACACACCAGACAGGCGTTAGTCTCTCTCTGTTTTCAGTGGAGGTAACATCTTGCTTGAGACTCTTCAACTAAATGCTTTTTTTCTGTGTTTCCAAGCAAATTATTGGTCATTTTGAAATTTATTTTACATATTGACAATATATAATGCAGTGCAGTGTTGATTTAAAGAAAATAATCTTGAATTACACCAAGAGAACTAAAATTTTATGGGTGAAATGGTGCCATGGGGTGACTTCTCTTCCACCCCAATGCCTTCTCTTCTCCCTTCTCCTCCACCCCCATTCTAATCCCATCATCATCATCATCATCATCCAGGAGCCTTCTACATACACACCTCAAAGTAAGTGTTTTTTCTACCTTTTTTGTTGAATTTAGGCAATTTTCGGTGAGCTGGAACCAATTACCCAAAAACCCATTGAAACAATGGTTTCGGTTAACGAGCAACCTGCTGGAACGGATTGTGCTCGTTAACCGAGGGACCACTGTAGCTTTTTATTATAAGTATTATAGAAAACGGGAAATTTGTATCATAAAAAATGGGAAATATCTACTTTCCGGGAAAGTTGGTTATCTACTTTCCCGAAAAGTAGATAGATTTTCTACTATTCGGGAAAGTAGATTATCGACTTTTCGGGGAAGTAGATTTTCAAATTTTGGGGGAAATATTACCTAATTTTGCGAAGTAGATTATCATAGAAAACGGGAAATTTGTATCATAAAAAATGGGAAATATCTACTTTCCGGGAAAGTTGGTTATCTACTTTCCCGAAAAGTAGATAGATTTTCTACTTTTCGGGAAAGTAGATTATCGACTTTTCGGGGAAGTAGATTTTCGAATTTTCGGGGAAAGATTACCAAATTTTGCGAAGTAGATTATCATAGAAAACGGGAAATTTGTATCATAAAAAATGGGAAATATCTACTTTCCGGGAAAGTTGGTTATCTACTTTCCCGAAAAGTAGATAGATTTTCTACTTTTCGGGAAAGTAGATTAAGTATTTTCAATTTTCGGGGAAAATTACCTAATTTTGCGAAGTAGATTATCATAGAAAACGGGAAATTTGTATCATAAAAATGGGAAATATCTACTTTCCGGGAAAGTTGGTTATCTACTTTCCCGAAAAGTAGATAGATTTTCTACTTTTCGGGAAACTAGATTGTAGTGGAATTCTCCCCTACAAACGCTGTTTGTCGCTGCCTAGCCGACCCCACCAATTCCCCAGTGTATGCCTCGTGGTCTAGGTCAACCAGCGCCGCCATACACCACGGAGCGGGGGTCAACTGCTAAGCCACGCCTACCCCCGCTATTTAAGACCTGACCTCGTGGTGATCTCTCTCTCTCTCTACCTACAGCCGCAGCCAGCAACACCTCTGCCGCTGCCTGGCGGCCCTCGCTCCTCCGCCTGCCTGGCAGTCCTCTCTCCCGCTGGCGAGCATGGCGATCCACAAGCTGCCCTCTGAGCGTCCTCACCAACCAGCTCTTTCTACATCACGCTTGTAACCATGCTGCCTTCCCAGCACCAAGCTGCATTGTACATCCAATACAACATGTATATAGAGAGCACATTGAGTTTCCTTTCTCCATTCCATCCTGAGTGAGAACCAAACATGTCATACCCCACAAGATTATCGACTTTTCGGGGAAGTAGATTTTCGAATTTTCGAGGAAAGATTACCTAATTTTGCGAAGTAGATTATCATAGAAAACGGGAAATTTGTATCATAAAAAATGGGAAATATCTACTTTCCGGGAAAGTTGGTTATCTGCTTTCCCGAAAAGTAGATAAATTTTTCTACTTTTCGGGAAAGTAGATTATCGACTTTTCGGGGAAGTAGATTTTCGAATTTTGGGGGAAATATTACCTAATTTTGCGAAGTAGATTATCATAGAAAACGGGAAATTTGTATCATAAAAATGAAATATCTACTTTCGGAAAGTTAAGTAGATTATCGACTTTTCGGGGAAGTAGATTGAATTTGGGGAAATATACTCAATTCTTGCGAAGAGATTATCACAGAAAACGGAAATTTGCATCATAAAAATGGGAACATTTTACTTTCCGGGGAAGTTGGTTGTCTACTTTCCCGAAAAGATACATTTTTCACTTTCACCGTGGGAAAGTAGATTATCGACCTTTTTCGGGAAGCAGATTTAACTTTTGGGGAAATATTACCTAATTCTTGCGAAGCAGATTATCATAGAAAACGGAAAATTTGTATCATAAAAAATGGGAAATATCTACTTTCCGAAAACAGTTTGATTTTCCGAGGTAGACATTTTCTACTTTTCGGGAAAGTAGATTATCGACTTCGGGGAAGTAGATTTTTCGAATTTTGGGGGAAATATTACCCATTCCTTATGAAGCAGATTACTACAGAAAACGGAAATTTGTATCATAAAAAATGGGAAATATCTACTTTCCGAAAGTTAAGAGTCTACTTTCCCGAAAAAGTAGACATTTTCTACTGGGAAAGTAGATTATCGACTTCGGGAAGTAGATTTTCGAATTTTGGGGAAATATTACCTAATTCTTAAGAAGTAGATTATCATAGAAACGGAACATAAAAAATGGGGAAATATCTACTTTCCGAAAGTTGTTGATTTGATTTTCCCGTGCAGATACATTTTTCTACTTTTCGGAAAGATTATCGACTTCGAAGTAGATTTTTCGAATTTTGGGGAAATATTACCTAATTCTCTTAAGTAGATTATCATAGAAAACGGGGAAATTTGCATCATAAAAATGTAAAATATCTACTTTCCGAAAGTTATTATCTACTTTCCGAAAAGTAGATACATTTTCACTTTTCGAAAGTAGATTATCGTGACTTTTCGGGGAAGTAGATTTTTCGAATTTGGGGAAATATTACCTAATTCTTATGAAGTAGATTATCATAGAAAACGGAAATTTGTATCATAAAAAATGGGAAGACTACTTGAAAGTTAAGTCTACTTTCCAGAAAGTAGATACATTTTCTACTTCGGGAAAGTAGATTAATGACTTTTCGTGAAGTAGATTTTCGAATTTTGGGGAAAATATTACCTAATTTTGCGAAGTAGATTACTGGCAGAAAACGGAAATATGTATCATAAAAAATGGGAAATATCTAATATCTGATTTCTTCCGAAAAGTAGATACATTTTTCACTTTCGGTGAAAGTAGATTATCGACTCTTTCGTAAGTAGATTTTCGAATTTTGGGGAAATATTACCTAATTTTGCGAAGTAGATTATCACAGAAAACGTGAAATTTGTATCACAAAAAATGTGGGAAATATCTACTTTCCGAAAGTAGATTATCGACTTTTTCGGGAAGCAGATTTTTGAATTTGGGGAAATATTACCTAATTTTATGGAAGTAGGACACTATCAGAAAACGGAAATTTGTATCATAAAAAAATGGGAAATACCAAAGTTGGCGCCTTCCTAGCAGATACATTTTCTACTTTTGTGAGTAGATTATCGACTTCGAAGTAGATTTTCGAATTTTGGGGAAATATTTCATCTAATTTTCCTAAGTAGATTACTCAAGTAGAAAACGGAAATTTGGTATCATAAAAATGTAGCCTACCTGTTGGTTATCTACTTTCCCGAAAAGATACATTTTTCTACTTTCGAAAGTAGATTATCGACTTTTTCGGGGAAGTAGATTTTGAAATTTTGGGGGAAATATTACCTAATTTTGCGAAGCAGGATTATCAAGAGAAAACGTAGAAATTTGTATCATAAAAAATGGGGAAATATCTACTTCTGTGAAAAAGTTGGTTGTTTACTTCTTCCCTTTAGAAAAGTAGACATTTTCTACTTTTAGAAAGTAGATTATCGACTTTTTCGTGGAAGTAGATTTTGAATTTTGGGGTAGCAAATATTACCTAATTTTATAAAGTGAGATTATCAGAAAACGTGAAATTTGCATTTGCAAAATAAAATATCTACTTTCCGAAAGAGTTTGAAAAGTAGATACATTTTCACTTTTCGAAAGTAGATTATCGACTTTTCGGGGAAGTAGATTTTCGAATTTTTGGGGAAATATTACCTAATTTTGCAGTAGATTATCAGAAAACGGAAATTTGTATCATAAAAATGGGAAATATCTTCCGAAAGTTGGTTGTTTCATTTCCCGAAAAGTAGATACATTTTTCTACTTTCGGGAAAGAGATTATCGACTTTTCGGGGAAGTAGATTGAATTTTGGGGAAATATTCTCTAATTTTTATGAAGCAGATTATCATAGAAAACGGGAAATTTGTATCATAAAAAATGGGGAAATATCTACTTTCCGGGAAAGTTGTTATCTACTTTCCGAAAGTAGATTTTTCGGTTTTCAGAAAGTGGATTATCGATTTTGTGAAGTGATTTTCAATTTTGGGGGGAAATATTAGATAATTTTGCGAAGTATCATAGAAACGGGAAATTTGTTTAATGGGAAATATTTATTTTGAGTTGTTGTTTACTTTCCTGAAAGATAGATTTTTCTACTTTCGGGAAAGTAGATTATCGACTTTTCGGGGAAGCAGATTTTGAATTTTGGGGGAATAGTTACCTATACTTATGAAGTAGATTATCATAGAAAACGGAAATTTGTATCATAAAAATGGGGAAATATCTACTTTCCGAAATATTCCTTAGTGCGAGATAATATTTTCTACTTTTTCGGCGCAGATTATCGACTTTCAGAGGAAGAGATTGAATTTTGGGGAATATTACCTAATTTTGCGAAGTAGATTATCATAGAAAAACGGAAATTTGTATCATAAAAATGGGAAATATCTACTTTCCGAAAGTTGGTTTACTTCTTTCCCGAAAAGTAGATACATTTTCTACTTTTCGAAAGATTATCTAGACTTTTCGTGAAGTAGATTTCGAATTTTGGGGTAAATATTACCTAATTTTATGAAGAATATCATAGAAAACGGAAAATTTCATCATAAAAATGGGAAATATCTACTTTCCGGAGCAATACGTAACTGAACGAAGCACAATGAT